ACACTCCAAAGAGAAAGGAAAACTTGAAATCGCATCATGTGACCCCTTTAAACTAAATGTAAAGGTTTCACAATCTGTCAACACTTGAACATTGAGATGTACCCCTCTATATAATTAGAGTATTTCAATGTCAGTTTTGCTTTAAAAAAAAAAGATGGTAACAAATCAGGATTTGTAAAAGTAGACAAATCTACGGAACTGGGATCATGTCATGCATGTGTTTTGTAAATGAGACTCCAGGATCTTAACATTTATTGTTATTGTTACCTGGTTGACAGCATTATTTTTCCTCGGTTACTCAGGAACGCATCACGGCCCTACAATGTGGGCCGGCACGAACTCTGGCTCCGTGTACGCATACGCTCTGGACGTACCCTCGCAGGAGAAGTTCTCTGAGCAGAGCGTGGAGGCGCCTAAAGGTTTCACAATCTGTCAACACTTGAACATTGAGATGTACCCCTCTATATAATTAGAGTATTTCAATGTCAGTTTTGCTTTAAAAAAAAAGATGGTAACAAATCAGGATTTGTAAAAGTAGACAAATCTACGGAACTGGGATCATGTCATGCATGTGTTTTGTAAATGAGACTCCAGGATCTTAACATTTATTGTTATTGTTACCTGGTTGACAGCATTATTTTTCCTCGGTTACTCAGGAACGCATCACGGCCCTACAATGTGGGCCGGCACGAACTCTGGCTCCGTGTACGCATACGCTCTGGACGTACCCTCGCAGGAGAAGTTCTCTGAGCAGAGCGTGGAGGCGCTGCTGGGGAAGGAGATCCAGCTCATGCACAGAGCTCCAGTGGTGTCCATCGCTGTGCTGGATGGCCGAGGGAACCCTCTGCCGGAGCCGTATGAAGTCTCCAGAGATCTGGCCAAGGCCCCAGACATGCAGGGCAGCCACTCGGTTCTTATTGCTTCTGAGGAGCAGTTTAAGGTTGAGATATTTGCAACTAAATAAACTGTATCATGAAAAAAAATGGATTGGAAGTGAACAACCTTTCTTTTGCTTTGTGTAGGTTTTCACACTGCCTAAAGTAAGTGCGAAGACCAAGTTCAAGTTGACCGCCCATGAAGGTTGTCGAGTCCGAAAGGTGGCACTGTCGAACTTCACCAGCGTTAGCTCTGAAGATTACTCTGAGAACGCTCTAGTGTGCCTTACCAATCTGGGTGACATCCACGTGTTCAGTGTGCCAGCACTGAGACCGCAAACACGCTACGACTGCATCCGCAAAGAAGACATCAGTGGCATTGCTTCCTGCGTGTTCACTAAGACTGGACAAGGTTAGTAGTTCATTCTCAAACAGCATGGAAGTAATCTCTAGCTTTGAGCTTTTTCCCCATGAATGAGATTCAACTATGTTGCCTTCAATATTATTAGGGTTGTACCTGATTTCGCCCTCGGAGTACGAGCGCTTCTCGCTGTCGGCTCGTGTGATCACAGAGCCGCTGTGCCGAGTGGATGTGGAGCGACCTCACGATCTCTCTGCTCACAGGTAAACCAGAGATTTCACTAATCAGTTTAACAGTGCTCTGACCAGGTGCTATGTTGAGTTTCCAGAAAATTGCCTGTCGAGTCTGAATGTGAAATTCCTCCAACATCAAAGTTACAGCAAATTAGATATTTGAGTTTAAATATGCAATTATGTTTTGTATCGGGGAGATTTTACTGTTGTTGGAGCTACTCAAGCAATTTCGTAAAAACATCATCCTATGGGTAAAATTTATCGTGTAACCTAGACTTTATTTCTCATTCAATTGTTTTTTTTTTTTTCTACTTTGGTTTTTGATGATATATGAAATGTGTGTTGGGATTAAATTTATTTGCTTTTACACTGATTTGAAAATTTTGTTGAAGTAAAGGTGACAGTTGGAAGACATCAATGGCATTAATGGCAGCGAAATATTAATAATATACACTGTCAAGAATAACAGTCCATTTAAAAATAAAGGCATTGAATTGAATTACATGGATGCATGTTTTGGCAATCAGACCTTAATTATTCCTTATTAGAGTACTATATACAAAGACATTTCCAGAATACTTGTATTCAGCAAGGACACACTAAATGAATCAAAAGTGACAGTAAAGACATTTATAATGTTACAAAAGATTTATTTTTCAAATAAATGCTGCTCTCTTGAATTTTATATTTAATAATTCTGGAAAAATGTATCAGTTTCCATGAAATATTCAGCAGTTTTCAACATTGACAATGATAAGAAATGTTTCTTGAGCAGAAAATCAGCATATGAGAATGATTTCTGAGGATCATGTGACACTGAGGACTGGAGTAATGATGCTGAAAATTCAGCTGACATCACAGGAATAAATCACATTTTAAATTATATTCCAATGGAAAATTATTTAAAAAAATTACACTGACTGTTTTTACTGCATTTTTGATTAAATAAATGCAGCCTCGGTGAGCAGAAGAGAAAATAAACTTTTGAATGGTAGTGTACAGATGGGTAATTTTGGTGGATGATCATGTTGAAGAAATGAATCATGTCCCAGACATTCAGGGAGAGTAATAATTCTGCATTTTCAGCACATTTCAATCTTTTTTTAGTGGTTCCAGCACGCCGCTCCCACCACAGGCTAATGGAACACACAAGACACAAGCAGAGAGCAAGTCTGTTGAAACTGAAGGTAACAATTCTGCACTCAAGTCCTGACAGATGGAAAATAAATGTCATTTTTTCACCTAGCTAGCTGAAATTACCAGCATTTGTGCGCTTTTGTTTTACTGGAAATTAGAATCTTTATGACTGAAGTCTAATTTATGTACTTGATGTTTAATGTCTCATACAGCAGTTAATTTTTCTAAAACTATGATCTCACCCCTTTTGTGACAATACAAATCACACTGTCAGAACATGTTGTGTTTCAAGAAATGCAATGAGTTCCTTGCTTAGGCTGAATAAAAAGATCAAACAGGATACTATGTGGTCATTCTCTCAGGGCTCTTGGATGAAATGCGAAGCGCCTTGTCCTCGCCCGTCCTGGATTCTCCAAACAGCAGTGCCGACGTCACTCTGGACACCACTGGCGAGCTCACCGTTGAGGACGTCAAAGACTTCTTAATGTGAGCGCTCTTTACTCAACTATTCTGGTCTATTAGAGTTGCGTTTATTTTGGCCTCCCCTTGATGTTTTGCTTCTTTAGGACTGTGGATGAAGCTGAGAATAACTACAGGAACATGACTGAAGAGGATGGGAGGCCTCCTGGGATTCTCATCAACTGAGGCGAGCCGGCAGACAGCTGGAGGTGAGGAACATTTACAGCACGAGCAGGCACTGTGGCCTGTTGAGAGTAGACCCCCGGCGTGCCTGACTGAGGAAATAGACCCTGCTGAGCCTGCCGTGTATTTAATGTGGAGATCCATGCTAGATATTGTTTAGGATGTGCATTTTGTTTTGTTGAGGAGGAACAAAAAGTACTGATGAAACCACACTACATTTATCAGTAGTGACAATAGTTCAGTTGTTGCAGTATAGCGTGTTTTTTTTTTTTTTTGTGTGAATAATAAACAACATCTGGTAAAGTTATGTCTACTGTATAACTGTCAGAATTTCTTTCTCTCTCTCTCTCTCTCTCTCTTCGCAATGTCATTCTTCAGATTTTGGGGGGTTGTGTCTTAAAAAAATTGGTCTTGTATGAACTGATATGAATCAGTGTTTCTGGTTAAAAATAATTTAGTGTTGGGAAGTCTGATATTTAATTTAGTATTGTAATTAGTTATTTTAGTTGGTTTTTATGAGCATAGTCTCAAATGAATCAGCTTATGTTTATGTATTTATTACAGATTCACTTATATCCCTTAATTTACGTGGTTTAGTACATGATTTGGTTATATTCTGCTATTCAGCAGCATTATTCTGTTTTCATGTCCTTTAGATTAGGGTGTTTTTAAATTAATTCATTTTTTTTATTAGTGATTTGTTAGTGTATTCAAGTACATTCAGTTGCTGAGATTGGTATTGTGTTTGAGTGGGAAAAAGTACCTCTTCGCCTCCTTGTGGACATGTTTGGCAGTGCAGAATGGTTTGATTATAGTGTGCTTGGATGAGTGCCTGTAATTGCATCAGTATTTAAGCCTTAATGAAGATGTTGTTTTTCAGGAGCAGTTATGGGTGAAGACTCATCAGCTGAACTCGTTACTTCTAATTGGATCTTGACAGAGCAGTTTGTGACTCCGGAAGTTGCACCAAACATTGTTCATGAAGTTTTTACAATGGGAATGTTGCACTTTTTCCCCTGTGCCAAAAGACTGAATGCTTCATTCTGTTATCCTCTTTTTCTTCACCTTTCCTCCAGTTTTCTTCTCCTCCTCTTTTTTTTCTTTCTCTGACAACCGTTGGTTCCTTTGAGGGGCCATAAAATGGTACATTTGAGGGGTGACTTTTAAAGGGATCAGGCAATAAAACAGCCGAGATGTTGCACAATGTCTGTATGCAGGTAGGGGGCTACTTGCACTGAACCCGTGAAGTTTTTCTTCTTCGTTTGTCTTTTAACATTCCTGTTTTGTCATGTCACCTCTCCTCTAAATTCCTACATTTCCTACAAATCTCGAAGGGTATTTTGGGGCGACCAACTGCACAACAGAAAATAACTACTCAAGCTTAATTATGGGAAAAAAAAATATGAAGTGCCCTGCTCATTTATGAAGGTATATTCTTTCTGTATGAAGTGTTTGCCCCCCCCCCCCCCCCCCCATCCCCCCCCTCCCCAAAATTGAAATCGCATCATATGACCCCTTTAAGATTAAGATACAAGGTTATGTAAGAAATAAAATATGGGCAATTAGCTCTCTACAGTATAGTTCAATAAATAGCAACAACTGATTTGAAGAGAAATACATGCTGGTAATGCAACATTCATATTTTAGATTCAAACGTTGAGACCTACAGTATATGAGCAAGCACTATGATTGGACCTGTAGTTGAAGTCATCTTTGCCATCCAGGAAGCGCTGATGCATTTGACTGAGGAACTCTTCTCTCAGCATGGCTTTCTCTTCTGCATTCGGCTCCCACTCTACCTGTCTGGGCTCATCACTTTCTAAAACACACAAACACATTCATCCATAAAGAAATTAA